CATTCCGAACTTAGTCTCGCCCACAACGTTTGAGGTCGGGAAGTTCGGTCTCGCATTGCTCAGTAGTAGCACGAGTATGCTCGTATAATATCTGGCGAGCCAATCAAATTGTCAGGGCGGGCTTTATACGATGATGGACAGATGATCAACAGTAACGTAATCAACCATGTCACCAAAGCCCGCTTGGGTGACAACAACAATGGCTGCCGCTGGAGAGCTGAGGTGTGTAGATTCTGCTGTTAGGTCTGTTCTAGAAGATATCGACAGCAAATTAATTTTAAAAGAGGAACAGAGAAAAGCGATCAAGGCTCATCTTCTTATTCTAGGCGTGCAACTGCACGCTTTGATTTTTGTTGACAACAACTATGCGTGGCTTAACATACGTCACGCACTCCGTTGCTCTTATTGGTTGTAGGTCTATCCAATTGAGTGTAGAGGCATTTTTTTTCCTGGTTCGTTCGAAACACGCCCCATAATCACAGCTCTATGGAGCAGCATCAGACTAAGATTCTGACTAGAATTGAGTAGGACTACATCAGGCTACGATAGTGGTGCAAATCATACAGACCCATATTGGTTTATGGTAACACTGCCCTTTATGTATTGATAAAGGGCGGTCACTGTCTGACTCTCCTGACTTCTGGGTCCATTGTCCCGTTTAATGTCATGAACAAAAATTTGACCACATCATTGCGGTGAAGTGAAGCTAATAATTCAGTGAACCTAGAATAACTTCGAATAACAATAACTTGGTCTCAGTTCAAAGTTTGTGTTGTGTTGTGTCCTCTGCCCTTTGTCAGGATCCCAGTTTTTGTGTACCTGCAAGCTGTTGCCTCATCACCGGACTCCTCTTAAGCTGCTGGTTGCCACTACTTCAACGCCAGAGTGTTTGCCAGTTTGGGGTACTCTAGCCAAGCCGAGTCTAATCTGAGTTTTGCATTTTGAGTTTTTGTCCTTTAGCCAAGCTGAGATCACATTGAGTTTTGCTGAGCGCTTGTTTCTCCCTGAGTCTCAACTTTGTTTGTTTTTGCTTTTCGGCAGGAAGCCCTTCCTGCAAACTGGACCTTCTGGGACCACCTTCTTCCAAGTGGGATCAACTGAGTCTTACACTGAGCTACGGATTCCAAACAGGAGGTTTGGATCCTTTGAGCACGCTGAGATCACTCTCTGAGTAAGGAAGTCATCTTCACCACGACCCGTTCAAGTACCACCGGAAAACCGAGTTGAAACCAGCGGCTGCATCATTCCACTCTGTCCGAGTTCTGGGTAAACCCTGTTCCGCCCTCCACCGAATCAAACATACCCTGGAAGACCAACACAAGTGGGTCCGAGCCTTAGAAAAACATGACACCCTTAAAACAGGCATTGTTTTGATGTCTGTGTAACCCGTAAAAAGAAATAACGATAACTATTTAATGTGTCTTTTTTTACTAGCTTTGTGATTAAGCTCTAGTTGAAGTTTCTCTATGGAGTATTGTCTTGTTTCCGGCTAGAAAAGTGATGCCAGGTGTAGTTATTTAAAACGTGAATAGTCCAGGTGTGCCCTTGGTCCCTGTAGCATACAGAAAAAGAGGTGTTTCTGTAATAGATATCTGGTTTCCTGTGATGGATCACTTCTGCTCTTTTGTGCATTCCATTTTTTTCCCCTCCTTCACATCATTGAGAAGCTCTAATGCCGCTGACTTTCAATAATCCAAGCGATTTAACGGGTTGTAATCATGCTGGGGTTTCATCAAAATCTCTGTCAATTTGTTTGTTTAGTTGTGAATTTGGTGTAACTCGTGCGTTTTGCTTGATTTCTTCATTTCCGCCGCAGTGCCCCGGGTCTTGACAAGCTGTGTTTCATCCCCGGTGTAATTGCCTTCGCTCCCCTCCCTTTCCATAATTACTCATTTGCTCATCACACCCGGGACACAGGAAACAGAAAATGACCACATCCACCATTCCCAGCCGTGTTTGTCATCTTCATCATGTTGTGCACCTCCTAACACCTTCCAAGGCTCTGAAACGTCTCTGTTAAAACATCCGTTAGCATAGCGGAGGCTTTCCCCTCAGCCTCGGGCTCCCATCTATCACAGCTCACCAAGGCAAATGGAGCTTTCAGTCGTGTGGTGATAAGAAATCAGAGCCACATTAAAACATCTGTCACAGCTCCTAAGCCCGGCGCAGAGAGAGATACCAGGAGAGGGTAAGGAGGTCGAGGAGATGTTTAACTAATTTGTCGGCGTGTAGGAACAGAACCTCTGTTTTAACAAAGGTTTTACCTAAAACTCTGTATCCTGACCATTTCGTTGCTTTAGTTTCTAAAACTAAAGGGTTAAACAATCTTCAAATCCTTTATTTCATTTATTTTCCAAGCTTTGGATAGGTCACTTCATAACTTCAAAGTTAACCGAAGGCGTACCTGAGAAAGAAAAAAAAAAGTCTATGCAATTTTTTAAAAGAAATATCAAATGTTCATAAGCTGTGACTCTCAAATTTAACTCACATGCTGTTAATTTCTTCTGATCCTTCTTGAAATGGTTCGGGTCCTTCTTTGGTTTCCAGCTGTGTTTAATTAAACTGACTGGACCTTTTTTCAGGAAAGGGACACACCTGTCTATATAAGACCTTCCGGCTCACAGTGCATGTCAGAGCAAACCAGAATCATGAAGAGGAAGGAAATGCCCAAGGAGCTCATAGAGAGAATTGTGGCAAGGCACAGATCTGGCCAAAGTTTACGAAATAATTTCTGCTGCATTCAAGGTTCCTAAGAGCACAGTGGCCTCCATAATCCTAAAGGAAGAAGTGTTGGACGAGCAGAACTCTTACTAGACCTGGCCACCCAGAGATGCAGTAGTGAGATGGGAGAAAGTTCCAAAAGGTCAACTATCACTGCAGCCTTTCACCAGTCAGGGCTTTATGGCAGAGCGGCCCAATGGAAGCCTCTCCTCAGTGCAGGACATATGAACGCCTGCATAGAGTGTGCCAAAAAACACATAAAGGACTCCTAGACTATGAGAGAGAAGATTCCCTTGTCTGATGAGACCAAGATTGAACTTCATGGTGTTAATTCTAAGTGGTATGTGATGGGAAAAGCAGGCACTGCTCATCACCTGCCCAATACAATCCCAACAGTGTAACATGGTGGTGGCAGCATCATGCTATGGGGTTGTAATTCAGCTGCTGGGACAGGATGACTGGTTGCAATTGAAAGAAAGAAAGAAAGAAAGAAAGAAAGAAAGAAAGAAAGAAAGAAAGAAAGAAAGAAAGAAAGAAAGAAAGAAAGAAAGACTATCCTGCAAGAAAGAAAGAAAGAAAGATAGAAAGAAAGAAAGAAAGATAGAAAGAAAGAAAGAAAGAAAGAAAGAAAGAAAGAAAGAAAGAAAGACTATCCTGCAAGAAAGAAAGAAAGAAAGATAGAAAGAAAGATAGAAAGAAAGAAAGACTATCCTGCAAGAAAGAAAGAAAGAAAGATAGAAAGAAAGATAGAAAGAAAGAAAGACTATCCTGCAAGAAAGAAAGAAAGAAAGATAGAAAGAAAGAAAGAAAGAAAGAAAGAAAGAAAGAAAGAAAGAAAGAAAGAAAGAAAGAAAGAAAGAAAGAAAGAAAGAAAGAAAGAAAGAAAGAAAGAAAGAAAGAAAGAAAGAAAGAAAGAAAGAAAGAAAGAAGAATGTGGCCAAATAAAGAGCTATCCTGCAAGATAACCTCTTCCAGTGTGGTCAGGACCTCAGACTGGGCCGAAGGTTCACCTTCCAACCAGACAATGACCATAGAACCGGTGGTTGGTCCCCGGACCAGACTACCCCCAGCGAAAGCCCCACCGGGTTTGGGGCCCACATGCCCCGCACATGCCACCCAACCAGAGCCCCCCCCACCCCCCCTAACTCACCCAGCCACTTCCTCCCCTCCATTTCCTACACTCCCCTCCCTCCATCCTCCTTTGGGGAGAGCAGAAGTGACAGCCCCAGCACCAGCAGGCCACCCAGGCCCTGCGGCAGCCCCCCCGCCAAGACCATGGACCAGGCAGCTCGCTCTTCCTCCAGACCCCAGACTCCAGGTGGAGCCGGAGAACAGGGGTGTGAGAAGACCCCGATGTGCTCTCTTCATCCTCTGATATGGGAGCTGGCTTGGAGCTCGTCTGCCTGGCTGTGTGTTTCTGGCTGTGTTGCCTTTAGCAGTTGACTTTTGTATCTATGCTTCTTTTTCTATGTCTGCTTCTGTCTCCTTGAACCCCAGTGGGCCTCAGCAGATGGCCGCTCACCCTGAGCCTGGTTCTGCTGGAGGTTTCTTCCTGTTCAAAGGGAGTTTTTCCTCTCCACTGTCGCTACAAGCATGCTTAGTGTGAGGGATTGCTGAAGAGTCAATGAGTCGATGCAATCAGCTGGTTTTCCTTAGATAGAAAACTTTGAATCAATCTGACTGGATGATCTGGTGAACTGGAAAGTGACCTGAGATGACATGATGTGAATTGGAGCTATAGAAATAAACTGAATGGAATTAAAAATTTTAATCCGAGCCAAAACAAACCTAAAAGAAACAGAAAAGGAGGAAAAGCACTTTTCTATCGTAAATACATCCTTATGTGACTGTTGTGGTCCAGCTTTGATGACACAAAAGGGAAAAAATCCACAATGGCTAAAGATGCAGAAAGGACAAGTAAAAAAGAACAAACTGTTCCAGGTAAACTCCTTCAGTTTTCTTAGTTTATTTCTCATCAGGCAAGCAAACAGAAAAGGACTAACATTTCCTACATGCTTCTCTTGCGCTGATTAAAAAAAACATCCGCCCACCCAGATGCATGCTGGTCCTACCATTGACTGCCTATTTATTAACTTCAATCACCCAAATTAATCATAACTATCCAGAAACAAAGGGACATAACCAAAAAACATAATCTCAAAACAGATATCAAACAATAAAGTAGAATAAACTTAGCTAGATTATCCACAAATATAAAACATTTTGTTAATTATTAACAAAAAACAATCGGCTCCTTCGGTGACCACAGCAGAGTTTTAACTTGTTTCTTATATTTGTAACAGTAAGAGAAAAATCAGCTTCATCTAACATCACTGTTATAAAATGGTTTTTCATGCAGAGTCGTGTTACTACATCCTATCAATCCCACAAAACAAAATGTATTACTGAATAACAAAAACCTTTATTCATGTTAAAATAGATTGAAAATATATTGAAAACTGATCTATTTACACATATTTAAGAGAAAGGTTTATAAATTTGAACTATTTGATGCTTTATTAACACACACACATATTTTGAACAAACCTGAGCACCTTTCTCACATCCTTTTACTTCTCAATAATACCTTTCGGGACCCATAAAAAATATCCAAAGAACAATTTAATTCACCAAAGGACAAGACAGCTGCAGCTTAACGCAGCCGAACACGGCGCACGCTAAGATATCTATAATTACTGACTTGGCTGTTTCATTCAGATGAGCTAAATTGTTTCAGGTAATTTGTTTAAAAGAGATAAATGTTCACAGTCGCTGGTAAGAAGAATTACATGACAATGAGTTTAAGCGTACAAAGGCGTTCCTTTGGTTCCACTGCGTTCCGTCGGATGTTCGGAGTGATCAATGCACAGCTACAGCTGGTTGAAGGGGACCAAATCCATTGAACAGTTGATTTGGTTCCATTTTACCAGCTTTAGCAAAGCATTTTAGGAGCGAGTGACGTCCGAAGGGAGAAGAGAGCGTCTAACATGGAATAACCTGAAAGAGACAAAACAGACAAGAGGCCGAACGTTAGCTGAATAAATTATTGCCGTATAAAATCACACATGAAAACATTTCTGTTAAAACAAGTCATGTTTTGACTTCAGGAAAACACAGAAACATGATCACATTTAAAGAGAAGGATAGATTTAGAACAGGAATAGATAGCAGCGTTGAGTGGAAGAAGAGATAAAAAAAGGGAGAAAAATGTAGGTGAGGAGAAAAACAAGGAGCAGGGCCCTGAGAGATAACAGAGGAGAGCTTATAAATGATGGCTGCAGACAAACCAGAGAAAACAATGAATTCATCACTTAACTGTCAATACTGCTAATGAAGCCAGCAGATAGCACGGCAGGAAAATTAACTCTCTCTGACCTCCAGCTCTATGCAGAAAATGCCTTCTTCCACTTTTCTTTCTCACCCACATAGAAAAGCTAAAGCACATTTCTGTTTCCCCTCCTGGTTGTTTTTGGAGGCTTTTGCTGGTGGCGCAGATACGATGATCTCAGCAGTCCTCCTGCGGGCTTCACTGCTCAGCTCGTCCTTGGACTAACTCATTTCCTGGTTCAATTAGCCCAGCTAATAATTGAATCATTAAGATAATAAACAGTTTAAGGGAGCTTTTGACTGCAGAATCTTAGATATTGATGTTTTCGAGTTGTAATTTCATATAATTGCTAGTTATTTTTTTTAAATAATGAAATTATCTATAAAATTAAAGCCTTCATAACCACAATTCTTTGGTATAAGAATGTGTTGCTATATTTTAAAAGGCTCTAACGTTTTGCAGCTTCTGTTCTGTCCTCTCTGGACTTTATGGTTCTGTTTAAGTTTTCTTTTTGGGTTCTCAGTTACGCTTTATTTCTTTTTTAATTCGGTATTTGTCCCGATTTCTATCATTTTTTAATTCTCTCTTGTTATTTCTTTCACTTATCTCTTTGATTTAGTTATATCAATTAGCTTTATTTCCTTTAGGTCATTTAAGTTATTTCCTATTTGCTGTTAGATCCTGTTTGTCCCTGGTTATTCTTTGGCCCCTTTTGCCCCGTCCCTCAAGGCTGGAATAACGAAAACCAAACATTCAGGAATTATATTTGTTTATATTATTTATTTTTCATCATTTTCGGAACGTCAGGTGAAGAAGGCATCCTTCTGGGTCTCGGCATCATCCCATGTCGCACCACGCTACTTTGATGCCCTTTCTTGTTAATAAGCTGAGAAGAGGTTTGTGTTGTGATCAGGTGAAGATATCTGTGAATTGCAAAGCCGGACACACCAGAACTCCTGTGAAATGAGTCAGCTGTCACAAAATATGAGATGACGCAGTCTGCTCACTCGCTCTTCGTTATCAGATAACCGAGCCACAGATGAAGGGTTGACGTCCTCGGAACGTTCTCGACATGGTTTCAAAAGGCTACTGTAAATGTGGTCTTTAGTGCCCCCTAGTGTCCCTTTTCTTTACCCATGGCTCCTTTTTAGTTGCTCCTGTCCACACCTGCTCCTTATCAACTGATTAACCCATTCATTGTTTCTTTCTCCCATATATACACCTCCTTTACTGTTCCTCTTTGCTGGATTCTCTATATTTTGTATGTATATTCCTCCCAAGTGTCTCCTTGTTTGGTTTCCAAGTTCCCCGCCTGTTTAGTCTGGATTGAAGCTTCTTTGCCACCAACTTCATTATTAAACCGTCTTTGCTTCTGTCTCTGCAACATCCTTAGACCTCACAATATCACTACTATAATCACATTTGCTGCTTTAATTAATTTCTATTGTCTTCCAGAAATACTTTTATCAATTATTGGTGCTTAGGTTCAAAAATAGGATCAATTTGTCTTTTTTCTTCCACATATAAATCTTATTTTACTAATCTACCTGAATGGTTCAGTTGAACCTACAGTGTAAAGTACCTAGAGATGTCCACTGGTTGTGAATTGGTGCAATAAAATATATAAATATGACACATCATTGTTTTCCGGTGTAGTCCTGTTTCTCTGACTGTGACTAACTGGATGTGCTCTCTTCATCCTCTGACATGGGAGCTGGCTCGGAGCTCGTCTGCCTGGCTGTGTGTTTCCTGGACGGGACCGCCTGTGGAGCTGGTTGACAGTTGCCTTTTGTATCTATGCTTCTTTTTCTATGTCTGCTTCTGTCTCCTTGAACCCCAGTGGGCCTCAGCAGATGGCCGCTCACACTGAGCCTGGTTCTGCTGGAGGTTTCTTCCTGTTCAAAGGGAGTTTTTCCTCTCCACTGTCACTCCAAGCTTGCTTAGCATGGGAGATTGCTAAAGAGTCGATGCAAAAAGCTGGTTATCCCCAAATAAAACACTTTGAATCAATCTGACTTGATGATCTGGTGAACTGGAAAGAGCCTTGAGGTGACATGTGTTGTGAATTGGCGCCATAGAAATAAACTGAATTGAATTGAATTTCACTGTTCAGGGCTCAATATCTGTTCATTGGCCCTATATTGTTCTATATAGCTAGATTGCCTCATATCTATATAAAATCAGTCAGACCTTTGGAGGTTTATGAGCCATAATAATCTGCATGATGTAGATTAGATTAAACCCAGAGTAGGTTCTCCCTTAGGCTAAAGCTGCTATCACCCCTAACAGACCAAAGAACAACTTCAGTCATAGGAGTAACATATAGGATAGTTTGGTTCTTTAGCTTTAAACCAGACCAGTAATTAGCTTTACAGATCAGCAACATCTAATGGTCAGACTGCAGACTGCAGTGACACAACCCCCCCCCCCCCCCCCCCCCCCCAAACACAATGTATTAATAGACAGCAGATAAAACAGAGGGAAATAAAGATAAAACATGCAGTTCAAACTGAGGTCAAAGCCTGTTTGGACAAAATAATCTTAATCTCTTTAAAAAGAATGAATAGTCTATTTTACGGTGGCGACACATATAAAAATATGAAAATAGATAAAGTAATCTCATATTATCTCTGAAATGTTCATGAAAGTTTAATACAATTAAGATTTAAGTTATTCAACATGTGAAAGTGGTCTAGAACTAGGAGGGAAACATGTTCCTATAGAGACCAATGTTTAATTAAAAGGTGAGTTCAATATACTTTACAGGACAATAATAAAACAACCATATATTGTTATATTGCTATATTCTGTCAGATTAGCAGGCTCATAAGCAATACGCATATGCAAGACGTCAGATTTTCATTTCTCGCTTTAGTTTTGCACGAAAAACATACTTAAAACTACCTCGATGTGCATCTATCCCTTTAGTCATGTACATAAAAGGTAATTTAAGGTCAGATCGCTATACGCTTCAAAAAAACACCAAAAAGTAAGTAATTAAATCGCTGTTTCGTAAAAATAAAACTCTGATAGTATGTATATGGAGGCAAGGAAAAGGTGATCCCTTTCCTGATATCTCCATCCCTTTTATCTTTATTAAAGTCAACCAGGAGTTTGGCAAATCGACTGTCCATGACTCAGGTTTTTAAACAATGTGTAAGAAAAGGGAGGAGGAGGAGGAAAGAGACAGACGGATACTTTTCTGTTATCAAATCACATTCCACCTTTTAGTGTCGGAGCTCTGGAGGAGAAGCTGATTTTATGGCCTTCTGTCCCACAGCTGCAGCTGTCCCACCATTACAATATGCAGGCAGGAATACTAAATGCATGTGCATCCGGTGCATCCAGGCTTATAACATGGCTCACCTCTGCTTTCCGTGTCGAATCAGCTTCTATTCCTCTTTTTATAGATAATGGTCTATGAGTGTTGGCATTAGACAGAAAGTGAGAGCAAAGACTGCTTCGCCAGCTTCTGTGTGCATTCGAGCGTGAATATTGGCTTCAGAGGAGAGAGCGGTACACACAGAATCCTTTTCACAGCAGGATTTTCTGTAGATTAGGTAGCGAATCCCTTTGCTGTGCATTCAGGGCTTCACTCCGCCAATCTGTGGCCCACACACTCATCAGACATCCAACCCTCCTTCACCCTGCGCGCCTCTACTCAGATCCCACATCAAACAGAATAGTTACACCCATGGCGTTTTATCATTAACCTCACTCAGACGTCTTCTGAAGGCTTCGCTGCCGAGTCCTCTTTCAACGCTAAACTGGGAGGCGGCCCCATCAAGATCAAACTCACAATAGAAAAAGGTGTTGTGCATTCACAGGTTTAGCAGCTCGACAGCCAAGGCTTTGAATGTGGGTCGACATGCTGCATGTGTTTGTACTCTTGCTCCAGGCTGCTTGTAATGTAGGTGCCCTCTATTCGGCAGATTGCACGGTTGGAGATAGGGCTGCTTCTTGTCTATTCTGGGACCGCACTGTCCACTGCATTCCTGCCCTTATATTGGAGACGGAGGGGATCATGGTTACGGACAACTGCTGGACCCCAGCAGACGCAGATGGTCAAGGAGTCATAAAGGGAAAGGTCAGAAGTGAGGAGTGTTTAGCCTCTCTGGGGAGATTTCTACCATGCAGTCCAGCCCAGCACTATGACACTGTTATCAGGCCCACAGTTGATCCTCACAGTCTTGGTCACTGTGATATTTTCATCACAGCTGTATGACCTGACATCCCAGAGGCTTTGCTAAAACAGCCTGGTTGCAGCGCCACTCCCATCAGCTTTACAGCGCCTTCACTCCCAGACCATGTCTGCCTGCCTGTTCTCTCTCTCCTTATCTGGACAAGTAGCTCTCAGTGACTGATTTGATGACTGCCAGGCCTTAGCTCTCAATCCAGTGCCACGCTGTTGGAGGGCTAGCCTTGAAACCCTATGTGAACATCATTCCCTCGAACCTCGGTGAATTCATAGTGAAAACTATGAAAGTGGCGACGTCAGTGCTACTAAAGCAGAGTAAATGTTTTAAAGTAACACTTTAAGAGTTAAATTTAACACCAATCCAAGTGCATTTGGTTCAAACCAAATTAATTCTCTTTGTAATAGCTCTATTGGCTAGCTGAAAAACCCATTTAAACCTGGGAACAATAGGCTGTTAGTGGCAGTGGGAAC